TCTAGCCCCGAAAGATCTAAAATGACCCATTCGGATGTTTCCTCGGAAAAAGATCTTTAAGGCTTTAGGATGATTACTAACATTTCCTAACATTGCTTTTGTGATCGTATTTGTCCCTTCGAATGTCCCTAAATAACTCCAACGACGATGCTACCTATTTCTCAATAATGGGATAGCGTTGTCTAAAAGGAAAACGAACATACTTTTTCGAGTAGGTAGATTAGTTCTTAAGTACTTGCTCAAACAAACAAAAACTTTTTAACACCAACACTTTCCCAAACAAAGTTTTCAAAAACAATTTTGTAACACTCTTGAGGACAGAAACAAGGGTTAAAATGAAGTAAAACAAAACTTTTCAAAACAAGCACACACAAGCAATTTTCAAAATGAGCAAGTACCTAAGAGCCCGTGGAAAACCACGGATAGAAAGGGTGCTAACACCTTCCCTTTCTATAATCTACCCCCCGTACTCAGAAACATCTCGAAAAAAAGGTTTTTTCCGTTCTTTTTTTCCTGATTGGATGAAATAAAAGTCAGTGGCAACTCTTACTTACCGCAACATTTGCGAACAAAAAGCGCAAACCAGTATTAACAGTCGGTTATGCCACAATATCACAGCACCCCATATCAATTGGTATCATCTCCAACTATTTGAGAAACAACAAGAAGATCATACGCACATCAGTAAGAGTGACCTAGGAGAACTTTCCTGGGGAATACCCACTTCCAAAAAAAAATCAAAGTGCGTCCATCCTTGGAATCACTATTTTTTGTTTTTCTTTAGTCACCAAATCTAAAGTAAAAAGTAATTTGTAAATTCTTTTCAAAAACAATTTTATTATTAAATCTCTTTGTTTTGAAAATTACCATCAATAATAAATGGAGTCTTTGTAAGCAGAATAAAACAAGAATCACAAAGAATTGGATAAAAGCTCGAACTTTATTAACAGAATGATAATCTGCGAATGGCGAGACCCCGTAGATGATTACAAAGTTTGGAAAACGGTAATATATTGGAAAAGATACATTGAAATACAATAACCACTATTCTCCATAACAACTTTGAACTTCTGAGCAGTGACTTCTGTTGAAGTATGGTGAGAGTCCAAGAAAATTGTTACTTCAAGGATCAAGTCTTGTCTGACGCAGTTACTTACCAAGAAATCCTTAACTTTTGCTAGGCTTCCCTTGCGGGTTTTCAACCTAGCGGGAGAATTTATTCTGTTTATGCCTCTTATTTTTGCCTAGACCGCCATTTCAGGTTTTCAGCCCACTAAGACACTCTTTTTTTTCCTAAGCCTCCCTTTCGGGTTTTCGACTTAGCAAGCTATTATTTTATTTCTTTAGGCAAAGTATTTCTTAACTGCATAAGCATTCATAGGACGTGGGAACTCCTCGCCATCCATAGTTTAAAGAATCAATGCACCGCCAAAGAAGGCTTTCTTGACAACATATGGGCCTTCAAAATTGGGAGTCCACTTGCCCCTAGGATCAATGTTGAAGGACATGATCTTCCTGAGAACAAGGTCGCCTTCTCTTAATTCACGAGGCTTGAACTTCTTATTAAAAGCTTTCTTCATTCTCTTCTGTTATAACTGGCCATGACACAAGGTCGTCATTCTCTTTTCTTCAATCAAATTTAATTGGTCAAACCTATTCTGGACCCATTCATCCTCTAACAACTTGGTTTCCTTTATCACTTGTAGAAAGGGAATCTCAACCTCAACGGGGAGCACTGCTTCCATACCATACACAAGAGAGAATAGGGTTTCCCCTGTTGAAGTGCGGATAGGTGTTTGATACCCATGCAAAGCAAAAGGGAGCATCTCATGCCAATCTTTATAGGTAACAACCATTTTCTGGATGATCTTCTTAATATTTTTATTAGCAGCTCCAACAACCTCATTCATCTTTGGCCTATAGGGAGATGAATTGTGATGGACACTCTTGAATTCTTCAAAAAGTTCTGTCATTATCTTGTTATTCAAATTCAAGCCATTCTCAGTGATAATCCTACTTGGCACTCCATACCGACATATAAGATTGTTCTTGATAAAGCGTACTACCACCTGCTTAGTAACATTGGCATATGAAGCTGCTTCCACCCATTTGGTGAAGTAGTCTATGGCCACCAAGATAAAAAGATGTCCATTCAATTCCTTGGGCTCAATCATTCCAATCATGTCAATACCCCATATAGAGAAAGTCCATGGGGAAGAAATAACATTGAGAAGTGTCGGAGCTGTAGCGGTAAAATTGATGAAGTCTCCACCGAGTATTTATTTATCCCATATGAAAGGGAAAGGAAAATCATCGAAGAAAACCTAAAGGGAAAATCAAGGTCTTGCGATCGAGAGATTGGGTAAGGGAGTCGATTACGCGAGGGGAAGGTATTAGCACCCCACACGTCCATTGTACTCTACGAGATCCACTCTCGTTATTCTAATAAAAGGGTGTGTTCAATCTAATTCTTAAGGGTTATAAACTAAGAGAGAATGCATGTAAAGAAAAGAGAAAGAATGGAGAGAAAATAAAGTTGTACTCGCTCGGGCCTTACCCCAATGCCTACGTATCCTTTTTGAGGAATCAGAGCTACCATAGTTCGGCTCATATATTTTGTTTGTTTGTATTTTTTAAATGAACAATGTTGCATTCGATCATTCCACCGCTGCTCGACCTTTGGAGACTTATGACCTGTAGTGGAAAGGAGCTAACATGCTCTTAGAAGAGAAAAGCCGAATGGAGAAAAGAAATGGATTGGTGGGTATTTTTTATTATGAAAAGTATTTTTGTATGCTTAGCATTCTTTGTACATTTGCCAAGAAAAAGAAGTTTTAGTTTTAAGTGCAGTTATGCAAAAATGAGAGGAAAACATCTAAGGGAGACTAACCTATCTCTAACCTAATGTTATCATATGATGAGGGATCCTATCTAAGTTAGCATGCCAAAGAAAGTCTAACAAACTATCCTATAGGGAACATGCACTGAGAGTGAAGTCGTGATCTCAATTTCTAAATTGAGTGACTCATTGATCAATAAGAAATAAAGGAAAGCGATAAAATCCTATGGGGAGCATGCACTGAGAGCGAAGTCGTGTTCTCAATTTCTAAATTGAGTGACTCATCGATCAACAAGAAAGGGAGCAAACATAACCATAACACATAACAGAAATGAAGTGCATAATGCCTGCTACAGGTCTTTAAACAGCGACTTCGAGCGCACGCTCTTTATTTCCTACTTCACATGATATCTAGAAAGTAATAACGAAATGCAATAAAGTGCGAAGAAGTACAAGGGTAGTAGCGGAGGCTACCAAAGCGAGCAAGTCGTCAAGAGAAGACGAAAGCACTGAAAAAGCAGAGAGTACGCGTCGAGCAAGCTTCAACAAGAAACAAACAAAGTTAGAAACAATATCCAACTAAGATAAAGGCAAACGCGTGTTACGAAAGCGGCACATAATCAAAAGTTTCGTTAAAGCACTGATCATGCTAAGGGAATTGAATCAAGGATACGGAATCGACAAGAACGTATTAACATCTTAATTCTAATCATGTACCAAACATTAATTCAATTAATTCCTAAGCTAATAAAAAAATTATGAGAAAAATATCACTAAGTCAAAGAGTAACATATTAGTACCCACACAAAATTTCAGCCAAAAATCATGGAAGAAAATACTACAATTAAATCGCCAAAATTCAAGAAACAAAGTGAAAAAATAAAAGAAGTTAGGAGGTGCAGTGTAAGCTGATGGGAGTGTGGCTACAAATCCTGAATGCTAAGCCCAAATCCAATTCCCTTCAGCATTTTTAGATTTTTATAATAAAAATGAATTAAAAGAATTTGAAAAAAATAAAATAAAATAAATTAAAACCATGGACCTAAACGTTGCATTTTGTTCGTATCACTTCAACCTAGGTCTCTTCTTCCTCAACCACGGAGCCGCAAAAATTCCTCTCTTCTCACTCGCACCGCGTCGTGCCGTGGTGGCATCATCATCATTATCCTTCTTTCTTCTTCTTCTATTCACCTTCTCAAACTCCATCATTTTGCAAGAAGCTCAAACCTTCATCTCTAAACCCATCGTGAACAGAAGCCCTAACGTACTCAATATGCCAGAGATTCAAGTGGAGATTCTTTGGGGATTTACTTCTACTCTTCATATTCTACCGATTCATATCAATAAAAGCAGAGAAATAGATGAAAAAATGCAGAAATTTGGCGTTGCTTACCTACCGAAAGAACTGTTCGGCGCTTTATTCAACAATCATTTTAATAACAAGAAATCTGGAGGTCAATTCTTCAATCTATTCTTCTTCTTCTTCTATTCTTCGTGTTAACTTCTGCGGGTTTGTGATTCCCTGATGTTATTTTTTATTTTGCATAACTCGTGATATTTATGAAACAGGTCTAAAATCTGAGTCGATGATGATGATGCAAGGTTGCAGATTCGTCGTTGTTGCAGATTTGGTGAAATACCGGCGACGATGATCGAAGTTGCGCGATGATAGTTATTGTATGAAGCTCTGGGAATTGGAGGTTGTTGAAGCTGTATTGATGATGAAGATGAAGTTGTGTTATGAAGCTTCAAAAATGAAGAATAGGTTCAAAGATTTTTCTAGAAAGAGGTTGAAGAATCATTGTCGAGAAAGAGAGAGAGAGAGAGCAGAGATCTTCAGAGCTTGTTTCTGGTGAGTTCCCTTTTGAGATTTTATGCGTTAGAAATCAGTTTTCGTTTTCTGTTATGACAGTAATGGATTGGGTTTTTTGATGAACTATTTTCTGGGTGTTTTTGCAGGGTCCTTTTTATAACAAAGAAAGAAGGTGCACTCCGTCCAAAACTAGGAGCGGCATGAGAAGGTTTTGAAGCACCAAAAGATGCTGACCCATAAGGTTTTGAAGTGGTAAAAGACGCTGAACCATAAGAAGGTGTTGGGAGGGCAATTCTATGAGGAGCACTGGACTTCCGACTACCCAGTAGATCAAGCTCTTTTGCGGCCTTATACTGAGAAGGAATTTCCATCGATGCTGCGAGAGCAAAAGCCGCCTCTTTTGGTGAAGGAGGAATGTTTTTTGACATGATTGTCATCAAACTCCTTCATCATGTCCCAAGGTCCATCTCCAACACCGACCAACATGATCGAAAAAGGAAATTCACTGGCTTCAACAATGGCATCCACAGTTTTCTGTTCCTGTGGACTAAGCCTCGCTTGATCAGTATCAATACTTCTTGTAACCTGGCCATCTGCAATTATCACTAAAACATGGTATTGGCCTCCACTTTGCTCAACAATTGCCATTGCCATTTCAACAACGGGTGCAAAGGATGTAGGGCCTGCAAGTCGAATATTAGGAACAATTTCCCTATACCGACTTAAAATTTCTTCAAATCCATTGCAAAATCTTTCGTCTGGATAGAAACTGAAGACATCTTGATCATGTGTTGATGCATCTCCAAATCCAAAACAAGGAATCAAGTTATCCTCAACAAATACGACCAAGGTTTTTTCCAACAATGGATACTGCTTGTTCATAGGGATTTGAACCATTCCCGATGTGATGCAAACTTTTTCTGTTAAATGAATGCATTCCTGTCCACTCATTGCTCTTGGTGAAATCAATTCCAAGAATAAGATTGGAAGACTCAAGGCCTGCACGTGCAAGAGCCTCGGTCACCTCATCTATGGAGTTGTAATTATCAGCAATCCTTGAGTATTTCCTCTCTAACTTTCTCTTATCGTCTTGACGGGGCACTCTACCACTAGTATGAGGCTCATGGTCATAATTTTGTGGAGGAGGAGGAGGTCGGGTATCATAATACGGTTGATAAGAAGGTTGTTGGGCATCATAGCTATATGGATAACCACCCCGACCGTAACCCAAATGAGGATCAGGATATGAATTCCACGAAGAAGCAGAAGCAGATGAACTTGATCTCAAAGATGAATCCTGCCTCAAATTTTCCTCTTTAGAACTTTGTCCCCCCATCTACTTAATTCTCTGAATTTTTTTGTTTTTCTTTAGTTATTGATGAATGCAGGTCCGGAATTTGGTCGTAGACTTGTGATGCTTAATTGCTTTTGTTTATGACTGTTTTTGAATATTTAGTGTAAATTCTTGTTTTGATTTAGTAATTTTGGATTTAAATGGCCTTTGTAATTTTCTCTTGTAATGCTCCAATAATATAGCTTCTAAATTGCATGGTTATGACCGAGAATGAAGTTGGATAATATTTTGACAAATCATTCGTGATGTTTAGAACTTGTAAAGATCATATCATTGAATGAACGTGAACCCTTGGATCTTGATAAGTTTTGATGAACAAAACTAAATGAATAACCTTGAATGATGTCATGACTTGTAATTCTTTGCAAATTCGTAACTTGTACACCTAGAAAACCATATGAACGAACCTTATAACTTCATCTTGAATCAACCATTGCCAAATCATGAAATTGAGACCTTGAGCTAATATTAATCTTGAGCACAATCAGTAGTTTCAACGAATCCAAATCACTAGTCATTTCCTTCAATAGTCCAAATTAACTTACAATTGAAGTAAAAAATATTTGATGAGAACCAAAAACTGTATCGTTCAAAACAAGTCCACGGTGTTGAAGAAGGAGAACTCAAGATAACCACAAAACTCGAGCCCTAAGCCAATGATCTCCAATTGAAGCATAACAGAAGAAAACCCCAATTCTTAAGCATTGAAGAAAAATCACAACCTGATGCTGAGGAGAGAGAATATCCCTAATTCCTCGAAATCCCTGATTTCAAGTCGAACTACCGACTAATGATGCATGATGCGTCAGATGACCTAATGAAGGTTATGTACCTCAATCTCAAATAAATCCACAGATTCTAGCCACCTTCCATTTGAAGCGACCAACCACCATTCAGAGAGAGAAACCCTAATGCCAAAGCTCTTCGATCTTATAACCATGAGACCAATTCTATGTGCAAAATGTACGAAGTATAATGAGGGATCTTAGGGGGAAAAATTGGGGTACAATAGCTGCCCTTATTTAAGTGTCTTCTATCCGGAGATACGAAGATTAAAAACTTCATTTCGAAGTGATTGAAGATACTTAAATATAAAACAAGCCCTATTTTTTGGCCCTAAGATACCATGCGATGCTTATGATTATGGATGCAGATAGACAAATCTAAAGAGACGCAAGACACCACTGGGGATATAGCAAAGGGAACAAAAATCGAAAAGAAACCCAACCAGGAAAATAAATCACTGGTGAGCAAAAAATCTAACTCTATTGGGGTAAAACCCGAAGAAGAGATAAGGTAGAATCAACTCAATAAACGAGGAAAAAGGCAGTGGGTAACAATGATCGACAAATAACTGTGAACTACCAACTCAATAGTTGAAGGTAGAAACGTAATAAGATACCGACTCACAGATGACGGTAAACGACCAGCTCAATAGTTAAAGGTAGAAGATCAAGATACAGACTCAAAGGTGACATTAAACTACCAACTCAACAGTCGAAGGTAGAAGATAAAAAAGAAACCGACTCACAAATGACGGTAAACTACCAACTCAATAGTCGAAGGTAGAAGACGTAATAAGATACCGGCTCACAGATGACGGTAAACTACCAACTCAACAATTGAAGGTAGAAGATAAAGAGATAGATACCGACTCACAGATGACGGTAAACTACCAACTCAATGGTTGAAGGTAAAAATGTAATAAGATACCGACTCACAGATGACGGTAAACTACCAACTCAATGGTTGAAGGTAGAGAGGATCAAAAAATATCGAATCACAGATGGCGGTAAACTACCAACTCAATAGTTGGAGGTAGAAGATAAAAAAATGTCGACTCATAGATGACGGTGAACTACCAACTCAATAGTTGAAGGTAGAAGATCAAAAAGATACTGACTCACAGATGACAGTAAACTACCAACTCAATAGTTGAAGGTAGAAGATCAAAATACCGACTCACAGATGACGGTAAACTACCAACTCAATAGTTGGAGGTAAAAGATCAAAATACCAACTCACAGATGACAGTAAACTACCAACTCAATAGTTGGAGGTAGAAGATCAAAATACCGACTCACAGATGATGGTAAACTACCAACTCAATAGTTGGAGGTAGAAGATCAAAATACCGACTCACAAATGATGGTAAACTACCAACTCAATAGTTGAAGGTAGAAGATCAAAAAGAAACCGACTCACAGATGACGGTAAACTACCAACTCAATAGTTGGAGGTAAAAGATGAAGATACCGACTCACAGATGACGGTAAACTAACAACATAATAGTTGGAGGTAGAAGATCAAGATACCGACTCACAGATGACGGTAAACTACCAACTCAATAGTTGGAGGTAGAAGATCAAAATAGCGACTCACATATGACGGTAAACTACCAACTCAATAGTCAAAGGTAGAGAGGAAGGATTAATAATAACAAGTTTCCCAAAATCATGGCTTTTCACCAAGAACGGATCTTAACTTCTTCTTTAACCAAGGTATTCCGCCTGGAAAGGGTAATATATAAGCTGTCTCAAATAAAGAGACTACCACTTATAAAGATTTCTCAACGAATTGTCTCTGAGATATTGAAAGACTTGCCATCCACTAGAGTAATTTGACAACGAACTGCAAATTATCCACTCATAGAGAAGATAGAAAAAAAAGTAACATCGACTTTTACAGGGAAGTACAAGTTGCTCAAATAAAAAGACCTGCTACTTGCTGTTATAGGAAGGATTGTAAAATGAATTTCTGGGGAAAGAAATATGACTTCCTCGGGAATGAATCATGACTTCCTAGGGAATGAAATACAGCTTCCTAGAGACATGCCAAACATATTCCTGCTGAGGAGATAAAATCTTCTTGTGCAAAATAAATGCGCATTATCAAACCAAGGCTCGGAGCATGCAGAAATCCAAAGTAATAATATTGTTGGGAACCAAAGATTCAAACCAAAATAAACCAGAATGAATTAGTCAACCAAAATACATCCTTTGAGAAATAAACTCAAGAGGGAAACCCAAGTCATCCATACAAAGAGTTATACAGGAAGGATAAAGCAAAAATCTTCCATGAAGGACAACTCAGTGGGGAAATTGAAAGAATATACACTTTCTGCTTAAGGTTGACACTCTATTGGAAAGAGGACAACACGACTCTGCAAAACAGGGTAATATGTCAAAAAAAATATTAATGAATGTGAATGAGCAATGATTTTCTAAATTCAACTATGTATGATGTATGTATGAATGTATGAGTGTTATTATGTATGTGCTAACAACACAGGCATATAACACTGGGAGTAACCAGGCAAAACCAACTCAGGTATAGTTAACACTCGGCTAAATCACATCCAAGATGAACATTCCATAAGAAAATAAGCACCAACTGAGGAAACAAAATCCTATTCTGCGGCTTAAATTCACTGGGAAGGAACATAATCCGAAAGTAATCAAATCATAGTGACAAAACAATACAGATACATGGATATAACATCCTTCTCTAGGCTTCACCGGGGAATATCACATAGACTTCAATGGGGAAAACAAATGTTTCACGGTTTGTACTTCTACTGGGGATTGTAAAACTTATTTAAAATAAGGCAGATTGAAACCAAATTATCAAAACATCCACTGAGGAATTCAAGCTGACTTCAATGGAGAAATATTATACAAACTTCACTAGAGGAGATAGTGGCTCATCATCGAGATATCAATTGGGGACCTCGTGCTGACTTCATTGGGGAGGCCAACACCACATCAAAGAGGGGAAACCAAGATATGTTCTTCACTGGGGAAACCAGAAATACGTTCTTCAATATTGAGAGTAAGTATTGCACCAACTTCTCTGGGGAAAAAGTATGAAATCTCATGGGGACAACAACTTGAAGAGTTAAGAAGTCAAATATTATAGAAAAGAATCAACCTTATGGGGATTTTAAATCAAACCCAACACTTAGAGAGTGAAAACCCAAAAAAATTGATAATCAATTCATCACTTCTTAAATAAAACACTGCCTTTGCCTGATTATCGGGCAATAAAAGGAAATGCAAGTACTGCCGAGAGGTAGATGCCTCGTAAATGAGTCCAACTCAGCATGCACAGGGAGAAAGGACTTTTACCAAATAGTGATTTCTTCACTGGGGAATCTCAGATTGAGTCTTCATATCATACAAACCTCTTCAAATAAAAAGATGACCTGGGATAGCCTTCCTGGGGAATCGAGAAGTCAACATCAAAGAAAAAGGTCAAACCCATGGGAATTTTAAATCAAACCCAACACTTGGCGGGTGAAAACCCAAAGAGTTCATAATCGTCTCAACACTTCTTAGAAAATATACTGCCCTGGTTTTTAGTTTCTTGGGAAGTAAATACCAACAACAATGCCAATACTGCAGAAAGAGCGGCATTTTGAAAATAATTCCATCTCAGCACCAAGGGAACAAGACCTTTCGTCATATGAGGGAAGACTCCGCTGGGGAATCTGGGATAGAGGCCTCAGACCATGCAAACCCAAGATAAAAATGAACCAAGACTTGACTGGGGACAATGGGATCACAAACCCAATACCACACCTTTCGCCAATTGGTATCGTCTTCAATATACAAAAATCACGCGCATACCAGCGAAAACGACCTGAGAAAACCTTCCCGGGGAATCCAGAAGTTCACGTTATAGCAAGAGGTCAAAATTATGGGGATTTTAAATCAAACTCAACACTTGGTGAGAGAAAAACCCAAAGATTTAATAACCATTTCAATACTTCTTAGAAAATATATTGCCCTTGTCTAGCTACTTAGGGAGCACATAACAACAATAATGTCGTAACTGGAGGGAGAAATACTCTATAAGAGATTCCATATCAATACAAAGGGAGAAAGAACTCTATCAAATGAGAAAAGGCTTCATTGCTCTTTTTAATCTCCATTTGATCACCACCTGGCTGGGGAAAGAATCACACTCAGCTGGAGAAGTCT